CCGGTGTTTTTTCACCGGGGTGTAGGATCGAAGAAACCGTTCATGGATATATTTCTCACCCCAAGTGATTTAATTTGGATTAGAATTTAGAAAGCTAACTGGAATAAATACAAATTCCGTGTTTCGAATTTTGCCAAATTCTGCCTCGAAAATGGTGAAGATTACATTTGAAGTAGTAACGGAATTGTTATTAAAACTGAAATGATATTTATCACATCATATAAGAAATGTTGTTTGAAGTTGAAATTTTATCTTCGCATATAATTTTTCAGGCCTACTTTTTAAAATTTGTCAAACAAACTACATATTTTCTCGACCGTTACTACTCGTATGACAACAAATCTGAAGTAAAAGTTTAGATTTACCTTAAATTACATGTCTATCTATATTCAACTTTTTTTTTTTTTTTGCATCTTTGGTACATTATTAACCGAAATCATAGAATGAATTTCAGATAAATTTACTCGAAACTCTTATTTAAATTTTTTTACTTCGAATTATAGAGATATAAATTCTAAATAATCGAATACAAAGTATATAAATATCGCATTACGAAATACGAATACAAAGTAAAAGTGCAGTCTTATTATTTAATGTATTTCTCACAATTGTTTGAAAAATAAAAATTCATCATAATGTTATAATTAATTCAAAATGTATAATTATTTAAAAATTAGAATTTAGTTAAATAATTATTAATATAAAAAAAGCATATTTAACTAAAGCACTAGTTTTGAGTAAAATTACGTATACCAGATAAAAAATATATATTCTTTTAGCAAAGAAAACATTCTTGGAATCAACAAAGAAATAATAAAATTGTATTCTTGTATTTGAATTGGATTTCATTATATATATGAAAAAAAAAAAAACAATAACAATGTAATGTGAATTTATTTCAGAAAACAAGACTTTCCTTACATTATTATTCAATGATTAAAAGGACTACATTGTTATTATTTATTTTAAATTCTTCATTAATTAATTGGCGCCAGAGTGATAGTATTTGCCGGGGCTCCAATTGGCGGGAATAACATTGGTGGCGGTAATAGTTCTTCTTGATTCAATAGTAGTTACTTTCACTGTATAAGGTCCGTTTGTGCCATTTGGCAAATCTGCTTTCCACGTGGCACCCCATGATTGCTGCATGTTAATCGCTCCGGTATTCGATGGCAACAACTGGACAGCACCGATATCACCGTCTCCGCTCACAAACTCGATCGCAAACGCCATGTAATTAGCGTTCGAACCAGCATCGATCTTGAATAATATACCCGTATTGTAGTTGCATGCTACCCTGCAAAATTAAATAATTCGAATACCAGCATTATTATATAATGATTAATAATTCACGAAAAATATAAACTTTCGCTTCTAATTAAAAAAAACGCGAAATAGAATATATAACAATTAGTTAAGGACCAAACCTCTAAATAGGCCAATATGGAGGACCAAAACGACAATTTTCTCGAAATATTTCGTACGTACCTTTGATATTGGACATTGATTTGTCCAGCAGCTCGTAATTGATCAGCTTGGCCTTGTTTGGCTAAATATCCGAAAGCTTTTCCGCTCAAATCAAAGTGAAAAGCTTCAGGGCAACCGGGACACTGGTCGGTAATTGTTACGGTAACCGGAAATCCTGAACACGCTGAATTTTCCGTACATTTTACCTAAAAAGATAAGTACATAAAATAACAATATGTTGTCAAATATATATTGGTAAAATGTACAGAAAATTTAATTAAATATAAAATATAAAATTGTAAATACCTAATTAATATAAATATATAATTTTAATATTAATAATATACCTGATAACAAGCCCCACAGCCTTTTCCATTGAGGTATATACCGTTGCTTCCTGCAGATACAAGACTATTGTATGGTGGATTTTGCACATCAACTCCAAATCCACAAGCTCCCCCTGAAATTACAATATATATACACAATTAGGTTTATTTGATATTAAAAAAAAATAATAATAATAACGGAATAATAATAATAATTATTATTATTCATTATTTTATGTTTAATTTTGTTTTAATTAATTAATTACCGGTACTTCCAGGTCCTTCGGGGCTACCGTACCACGTCGCCACAGCAGACGAGAAACCACCACCGAGAGAAGCATTAACCGAATTAGGGTTCGTACAAACGCAATAATTCGTTTGAAGCACTAAAATAGCTGTTAGGGTTAGAAATGTGAGAGGTGAAGAAAAGTGAGAGGTAAACATGGTGATATATGTATGAAATTGTGCAGAAAATTATTTATTATATGAGATGTAGAAAAAAACAATGTGAATTATTAATGAATAGTTTGGTGCCTTTGGTTAGACTTATATACTGTTAATTCTTTTAATACTTTCCATATATGCAAATTATTACAACATGAGCTTCTTACCATTAACAAAAGAAATATTTTGATTATTCAAAACATGAAATAATTTATCGAAAAAGATTTCATTTTTCTTGCAAACTATAGAGAGATTTTTATTTATCAAGTATTAGATTAACAAAAACTTACTATCTCTCCTTAATGCTTGTGTTAAGTGTATATTTATACACTTAATTATACCTTTTAATTGGAGCTTTTGGTGTGTTTTTATGATAATTGGAGCTTAAAATGGCTATTATTTGTATTTTAGGTGCAAATTGGAGAATTGACAACTTTTGGGGTGAAAACTGCAAATTCAGAGAAAAAGTGGGCCAAAAGTGAAAAAATCAGATTTCCTGCAGAATTAAAGCCCGCGCGGCCGTGCGGATTTTAGAGCTTAATCTCACACGGCCGTCCGGATGGTCGAATTGGCGCAGTGAAGGAATCCTAATTACACAAGGAAACCCGCCCTATTATAGTTTTGCACCCTATTTAAAGGCCACAAGCACTCAATTAGAGATATCTTTTATTTTTCATCTTTAATCTTTAGGGTTTTTATTTTTAATCTTTCTACACGCAATCAAGGAGCACAAGAACGAAGACGAAGACTTGACGAATCTTCATCATAGTTCTCCTCTTTTATTGTTATTTATAGTTTTATGATTTTTCGTATTTTTATTATGTTTTTCGTAACGAACATGCGTAGCTAAGTTTTTAATCTAGGATTTTGTTGGAACCCTATGTAGGGATTGTGAACCCTTTTTCTTGAGATTATGCAATTATGATTTTATGATTATTTCCTCTACTTGATATGATTGTTAGTGCATGAACTTGATCAATTTATGTGCTTTATCTGTGATTATTGGGATTTACTCGACAGAGCTATTTTGATAATTAGACGGTGAGTAGAAGAGCCTTCGAGTAGTTTTCACCGGATGAGTGTGTCAATTGCATGTGGTGTCGTAGACATACAGATATCACCTTAGGTAGCCATTTACGAGACTTGTTAGTTAATGCTTTATTCATAATTGGTTTGCATAGACATATAGTGAATCGTTTATGAGTAATAGACTCATAATACACGCGACAGCGGGTTATGAGTAAATTAGTGTCTCGGGTTAATAATCATGAATCATATATTTCATAATTGAGGGGTTTTGGGTGAGCAATTCTTGCATAGGGGGAAGATAAAATCCTAGGTCCGTTTTAATTGATATTTTCCCGTGTTATTTGCTTTCTTAATTAGTTTAGTTGTTCAATTAATTTAATTTGACAAACTTGCGTAGGCTGGATAAAAATCATAATTGTTAGAATTTGGTACTTAGGATTAGGTAATTTGCGTATTCCCTGTGGGATCGACATCCGACTCTCACGAGTCCACTTTATTACTTGTTTGCGATACGTGCACTTGCGTGTTGGTATTTAGCACCCAACAAGTTTTTGGCGCCGTTGCCGGGGAATACGGCTAAATTATCTATTTATCCTAATATCAAATTTAAGCA